GGTCCTGGGAGCGGGAGAGGAGCAATGGTGTGTCCTCACCCGCAGCCTCGCCCACATCTATCACCACCTACGAGACCTGCCAGACCTACGAGAGGCCCATCGCCTTCACCTCCCGTTCCCGGAAGCTCTGGATCCAGTTCAGATCCAACGAAGGCAACAGCGGCAAAGGCTTCCAGGTGCCCTATGTCACCTACGACGGTACGTGGGCCACCCTGGCCCGAGCCCAGGCCGCCCAGGCCACAGAGGCTCCAGCCTGGGGGGGGGGGGGGGGCGGGACAGGCTCATAATGGGTCCGAGGCACTAAGGCGAGAGCAGTTGATGCCGCCTGAGCAGCGTTTTGAGGATTAAATTGGAGTTTTCTAGCTCGCCAAACCTCAAGGAGAACAGTGCGGGTACAGGGCACACAGGCTCAGAGGCAGAGCTGCCTGTGGCTGGCACAGAGGGGGCAGAGGTTGTGGGGGAGAGGGCTGAGGCGTCTGGAGCCCTTACCTCCCTCCCTCCTTCCCTCCCTCCCTCCGGGCGGCTCGCAGAGGACTACCAGCAGTTGATAGAAGACATCGTTCGAGACGGACGGCTCTACGCCTCAGAGAATCACCAGGAGATTTTGAAGGTGCGTGAGCTTCTCTATGGGAAGGGATTCGTGCAACCCCAGGACAGGCTGTGGGCTCCAGGGACCTCCCTGCCCAGCTCCCCTAGTGAGGGAAGGTGGGGGGTCAGAGGGCCCTGGGGGTGGGGCTGAGGCTGGCACCTCTGTCCTTCCAGACCAGGAGCTCCAAAACAGCTCTCTGTAGGGTCTAGCCCCCGACCTGGTGGCCTGTCCTGGGGCAGGTCCCTGACCAGCTCTGAGCCCCTCTCCTCATCTGTGAAGTGAGGGTAGTTGACAGAGTAGTATCTTTAAATCAATGGAATCCGATGCTGCCTTTGGGACGGACTCCCTCCTCATCCCATCCACGGCCCGGAGACACAGCCACCTTGTCACGGAGGGGAGGGGAGGGGCCGTGGTGTCAGCAGCTGACACTCCAGGTCAAGACCCTGGGTCCTCCCAGGAGAGGCCACCCCAGGGGCCAGCCCCTGCAGACGGCGCAGGGTGGGGGTCCCCACTAGGGTGCCTGGCCAGTCTGGATGAGGGGCTGAGGGCTGTTTTTAGGCTGGCGGGTAACTGAAGCTCAAAACAGCCCCTGCGGCGCCCCGGGCTCTGGGCTCAGCCCCTGCACTCAGTGCCCCGGGCTCTGGGCTCAGCCCTTGCACTCAGCGCCCCGGGCTCCGGGCTCAGCCCCTGCACTCAGCGCCCTGGGCTCTGGGCTCTGGGCTCAGCCCCTGCACTCAGTGCCCTGGGCTCCGGGCTCCGGGCTCAGCCCCTACAGAAAGCACCCAGGCTCCAGGCTCAGCCCCTGCTGACAGGGCCTGAGCCTGCAGGGCAGGGGTGGAGCTGGGCAGTCACAGGCTGTCACTCCCAGCTGGTGGCCCCGGCAAGCCCTCTGAGCCCCGCCTCCAGGGCTGAGAAACAGCTCACAGCCCTGGGTCCCCAGCCTGTGCTGGCCGCGGGCAGGCAGTTGTAAGTGGAGAGGTTACAAACCTGGAGATCTCAGGGCTCGGAGCTCCTCCTCTCCTCCTTGGCGCCCAGCTGGTGAGTGGGGACAGGGTCCTCCTGGCCTGTCAGTCTGTCCTGGAGACGGTGCCCACCTCTCTCCCCCTCACCTGTCCTCTGCTGCCTGGCCCTCTGTCCCCCACCGCTGGGAGCAGCTCTTCAGAATAGAAGCGCTCAGCGAGGATGGATACCTGGGCCAGCAGGGCCCGGGCCTCCACACCCCGACTCCACGCACCACGGCCTCTTTCCTCAGTGACCGTCCACCCAGCCTCTGCTCTCAGCTCAGGCGCCCATCCTCTGGGCAGCCGCCTGGACCTCCCTGACCAGGTCGTACTCAGAGTCCCGGGGCCTTCCCGTCAGCCCTGCAGTTTCGGTGTGTCCCGTGGTGTCAGTATTTGCCGCCCGTCCTCCTCATGGCGGGCTGCAGGGGCCCATGCCCAGCATTCTGCTCCAGCACCTGGCAGCGCACTTGGCACACAGAGGGACCCACGAGTGTTTCTCAAGGGCATGATGCTGCATGCACGTGTGTAAGAGATGACGAGTGCGTGCTGGGTCGTGTCACAGTGTGACGAGTCCGTGGCATGGTGGCTGCCTTCGCTGAACCCTTCCGTGGGCCATGTGGGGGGTCTGCTGGAGCCCTTGGGACACCACAGCCAGGCTCACACTGCTAAGGGTCTCCTCCGGGTCACATCGCCCCCTTTAGACATGACCCCCTGGGCTCAGAGACGGGGCCCGGCTCCCAAGTGACAGCACCACAGTGCAGACCACGTCTGCCCGTGCGAAGGCCCCGGTGAGGCCGCCCGAGGCGGGTGCCGTGCTGGCGAGACGTAGGCCTGTGCGCCAGGCTCCTTGTTCATTGCTGCCTCCGCCCCCCACTCAGCCCTGAGAGGAGGGACCCCCCTCCTCACACGGGGGAGTTACCTTCAGAGGGCCAGGCCGTTCCCAGGTTAGGGAGCAGGTTCTGGAACTAGTTTCAAACCCAGGTCTTTGGCCCCCAAAGCCCGTGCTCTCTGTTCCGTGTCCTGGTTTCCAACACAGCTTTTGCTGTGCCTTGCTTTCTGCGGGAGAGCCCTTCTTAAATAAGGAGCATTGGCGCTCCAAACGTTGAAACCAGGTGACTGTTTGTTTAAGAGTTTATTTGAGCCAAACTGACATATGCCGGGAGCAAGATCTCAAATGCTCCCCCAATAGACTATAAAATACTAATTCGAGCCCAGCCAGCGGGGCGCAGTGGTTGAGCATGGACCCATGAACCAGGAGGTCACGGTTCAATTCCCGGTCAGGGCAGAGGCCTGGGTTGCGGGCTCGATCCCCAGCGTGGGGCGTGCAGGAGGCAGCTGATCAATGATTCTCTCTCATCACTGATGTTTCTTTATCTCTCTCCCTCTCCTTTCCTCTCTGAAATCAATAAAACTTTTTTTTAAATTCGACACTTAAAAGTAAAAGCCATTTATGGCAGAGAGTGTGGGCTCCTGAAACTCACCAGCAGCCCAACATCTGCCCCCGCCCCCACCTGTGCCGACACCCCTCAGCCCCCACCAGGCCCCCCGGGCATTGCAGAGGGCGGCGGCCCGGGGCCCTCCAGCCCAGCCTGCCTCACCCGGCCGGCCATGTCTTGCAGGACAAGAAGCTGATCAAGGCGCTCTTCGACGTGCTGGCGCACCCCCAGAACTACTTCAAGTACACGGCCCAGGAGTCCAAAGAGATGTTCCCACGCTCCTTCATCAAACTGCTGCGCTCCAAGGTGTCCCGGTTCCTGCGGCCCTACAAATAACGCCGTACACCCCCACGCCTGCCGGCAGCGTCCCCAAGGGGTGAAGGAGGGCCCACCCCACCCCTAGCAGAAGCTAAGAGGCACCAGGGCCTCCGCGTGGCCGTGGGGCTGCCCTTCAGGAAGCGATGACCAGCCCATGGAGGGCGAGACTGCGCCCAGGCAGAGCCCAGCCCAGCCACCGCTCCCAGCGCTGCCCCCTGGGAAGCATTGCTTACAGCAGCCTTTCTCCTTAGCTCCCTCCCTCCGCCTGCTGTTTCCAGGACACCCCCGCTCCTGGGCCAGGCCCTCTGCCCATGCCCAAGCAGCGCAGGCAGTCCTGGCGAGCATGATGGGGAGACTGCAGGTGCCCCTTGAGGGACACCCCGAGTCTCCAGGAGGCTCTGGGAGTGGTAACGGGAGCACTGAGCCAGGCCCTGGAGAGAAGGGCGTGAGGGCGGCTGCAGGGCTTGGATAAGCCGGAAGTGCCCGCAGGGTGTCCACACCGTAGGCCCCTCGGCCACAGGCCCAGGACCGGCTGCCCTGTGGTTAGCTCTACGGATTCTGGCGGGACAGAAGGACTGCGCGGGAGGAACCTGTAGATGTGTGCTTTTCCTCAATAGAGCGTCTGAGTATTATATATGTATAAATATAAATACAGATATATAGAGACTTCTACTTGTGGGTGCTTCAGGGAAGACTCTGTAAACTCTGTGACCCCTCGTCTCCACCACCAGCGCGCCCAGCTGTCCCGCTTTCCTCGCGGATCAGGCTGCGTCCCAGGCCTGGCGCCCGGTTCATGGAGGCAGGAGCCGCAGGCTGGGCGCTTTGGAAGAGTCCTTTGGGAGCTGGGCGCCGAGGCTTTCTGGAGTGCTGCCCTCAGTGGAGGCACGTTCCTCTCCAGCCCACCTGGGGGTGCAGGGACCTACACTCCCCTTCAGGAGGGGCCATGTCTGACCCTGAGGCATGACCTCGGGGTCCGTGCTGTGCCCTCATGCCACCGGAGCAAGCCTTTCCCAGAGGGCACCGGCCGTGTGCTCACAGGGGCCTCAGGGAGCAGCGCCCACTTCTTGCTTTTACTCTCAAAGGAGACAGGCCCAGGGAGGTAGGTGCCACTCCCCCGCCCCCCGCCACCCTTGGGTCGAGGTTGGGGCCAGAGGCCCAGCCCCAGGGAAGCCCTCTTTCTTCTGTGCTGGCTGCCTCCCTCTCTGTCTCCCTCTCGCCCTCTCGGAGTCTCCCTTTAAAAAGGAGAGTCTAGGACCAGACCCCGTGGCCTGGAGTCCCACTCAGCCAGGAAGCGGGCGCCTGCTGAGGCTGCCTGATGGAGCCGCGGGCACCAGGCACAGGGCATGCGCAGGAGGTGGCTGTATTTTTAGGGTTAACAGGTATTCAGAATCCCAAGGAACATGGGAGAATCTTAAATGAACGCCCCCAGACTGTTGCCTCCGCGCCCCTTTCCTCCTCCCTCCCCTCCCCAGCCACAATGACCAGCCCGCAAGGAGCTCAGGGTGAGAAGGTCACGGCACCCTGAGCAGGTCAGGATCAAGGCAGGCCAGCGAGGGCCCGGAGACTGGGGGCTGGGGACAAGCCGGACCAGGGTGGATTTTACAATCCAGGTGAGGGCTCGGGACCGCGGAATTCTGCTGCCATGACCCTCTCGGTATGGCGAGTCCCCTGAATGCCACCAGCACCTTCTCTGCCAAATCCAACTCCCATTGGGGTGAGCACTCGGGTAGGTCAGGGTCAGTGGAGGAACCCCAGGGCCACACCGCCCTTCCCTGGTCCCCATCCCGGAAAGGCAGCCCTGGCTTCCAGAAAGAGGCCTGTCTCCCTGTAAAGCCCTTGGTCATCCCTGGACACCAGACAGGCGTCCCAGAATGGCCCCAGCAGCTCCTGCCCAGCGTGTGGTGACCGGCGGGAGGAGGCCGAGGGTCCAGGTGGTGTCTCGGGCAGCTTTCCCTCCTGCCGTGCGCTGGTCGGGGACACGCGGATGCAGCAGAACTGAGGTGCAGGCCTAGAAGTCCAGGCTGCAGTGGCTCAGAGAGGCCAGCTTCCAAAGCCTGAATCTCCCCCGCCTCTTACAACCGTTTCCCTCCCAGACACGGCCAAGGCCACCCATGTTCCTAGACAAGAGGCCCGACCTGCGGAGCTGTGGCGGGTACGGGGTGACATTGGGGGTGAATAATTCTTCCAGCACCTCCACTGCCCAGCAGAAAAAGAAGATGCTGAGCTAAGCTGGGCCATTTAGTAAATGTTTGCTGAGCACCTACTGTGTGCTAGGCTCCTAGAAAGGGAGAGAGCCCACGGCCCGGGCTGACGGATCCCCCAGAAAGCACCCTGGATGAAGAGACAAAGCCGGGGGTGGGCAGGACACGTCTCTGCCCCACGCAGTGCCCGCTGCCTGTGCCTCCACCGCCAGTGCTCCGGAAGGGAACTTCCTCCCTTGTCACCAGGAGCCCCCCAGCCTTTCTTACCTCGCCGCCCCATGCCTGGAAGTCAGCCGACCTGGAAAACTGCACCTTTCGGCCAGGCTCCCTTCCTCGCCGAGCTGCACATGGTGGCAGCCAGCCCTCTGACCGGGGCGGCAGCACGGAGCCAGCGTGAGGCCAAAGGCGGGAGGACTTGACGTTGAGAGACACTGCAAAGGGCTTGGTGCTCCCACGACCGTGTCAGCAGTCCCCCCAGACCGCCAGCCCCTCCAGGAGGAAGTCCTAAGAAGTCCCAAGTCTAAGCACCTACTGTGTGCCAGCCACCAGCAGGGGCGAGTCAGCCCCACCCAGGACCAGACGGACATGGCCATGGACACGCCCTGCAGGTGGCCCCCAAGGAGCAGGCCCCTGTGCTTCCCTGAGGCCCCCAGAGCCGGAGCAAACTGACATCCTCTAGGCCCCAGTCTCAGCA